GGGAGGGGAGGGGAGGGGAGGGGAGGCCATTTTAGAATTACTATGAATTTTACACCAATACCAAGAAAATGCTCAAGAACAAGACTGCACCCCAAACATTATTTGAAGAGATGAGATATTGTTAACCTATCCATACATTTCAATAAATCATGTCTGTTGCAACAGATACAAATGATCAGGCTAATTGGGAAGGCTTCTATTCCAGATGTCTTTCTTCCTTTTTACATGGTAAGAAAAACACCATTCAGGCTAATCAGTTTGCCAGGTAGAGACCACAATCATCTACGTACATTTTAATACGTATTTATACTCATTTAGGAGTAACCAAGAATCAGAATCCTTTCTTTTACCATCTTCTACATATGTGAAGGCCACTTATGCAGGAGAAAAAGAAATGCTCCATTTGGAGACACAACTGCAGCAGGGACAAAATTTGCATGCCCCACCCTTCCTGTGAAATACTACTTCCTCAGCTGACTTTACTGAAAATGCTGGAAGTATTTCTTTTGGAAAAATACAGGGTACAAGTAGAGAAAGTTGCATTGTTTCACCTCTTTCAGATTACAATAGACTCAGTGATGGGTGGGGAGCGGAAGAGGAGAATTAGGGGGCAGGAATACATTCCTCCCCCTCTACCAGACTGGCCCTTAGCTAATTCAATACAATTGCAGCCAGTTTTGGGGGCACAATTCACAGTAAGATCTTCAGGGTATTTGTTTTTTTCCTTGGCTTTTCTGCAAATCATTACTTTACCAAAATAAATGAAGTTTGTCAATGATTTATTGTGTACTGTCAGTACACCAGGATCATCTGGAGTGTCGGATTGCTTTAGTTCAGCGTTCGAACATTTTCAGTCAAAGAAATGGCATTTTCTTCTTGGCTTGGGGCCATGACCATGCTTATTTTTTACTGATCTATTATTTCAGAAGTAGCCCTTCTACTTACGGAGTTTCCAGCATGACTCGGCAAACACTGGCCATGGTGCTTAAGCAATCTGTGGTATTTTCTATGGGTAAATTCTTGTTCTATAAACAGAACAAGAGAAAAAATAGTCACCAAAACGGAAACGACACTGCAACATGGATTGTCCTGAACCAATCAGACTGAGGAGAAAGGCATCCATACTAGAACAAGCTTCTCACAGCCCCAAATATCTAATGGCCTGATTCTGGCAATGCAATAACCCCCACTCAAGGGGCGAGCATGAACTGTGACTGAACTATGATTGCTGCTGAAATGTGCATTATCTGAATCCAGCTGTGCTAGTGCCATGGTTTGTTAGCCAAGAAAAACATGCAGTTCACAACCCAACAGCAAACCACGGGTTGTCTCTATGCTAAATCCAGACACTCTGCTTCAACAACAAGCACCAACCCAGTGTTATGTTGTCTGGACTCAGTCAGTGTGCTTGCTGCTGTGGCGGTGCTGAATATGGTATTTTTCATTTAGTGGAATGGGTCCAACGGTAAGAATTTTAGGAGTTAAGTGCAAATTGCAGGGGTTGCCTTAGGAAGGTATGGGGCACAACTGGGTTGCAGATAATTGAATTAAACTCCAAAGAGAACAGAAATCCAAAGCCTTTATTATTCATTATAGCAACTCCAATCTACAATGTATGTCATCTCTAATGTTTTAATCATCTCCCACATGAAAGCAACAATAAGATAAACAGAAATAGTCTGCAAAAGAAAAACTCGGCAGTTGTATGCATTCATTTCCCACTGTTCTTTCAAGAATTATTGTAACAAGGAAGGATACTCACTCACCTCTGAAACAAATTTTGTTGTGGCATCACTTAAGGTTTTCAACATTGGTGTTGCTTCAGCATAAAATAAAGACATTCTGTTGGCCAATTCATTATTTACTTCATTTTCTCCTTCTGCCTACCAAAAATAAAAATCACAATTGTCACCGGTTTTAAGTAAGTAGGTCAGCAGTAGAATGCTCACAAAAAAGCACTTTCCCAACTCTACTAGGCGGTTACCTACTGGAACATTGTTGATTCTCATACGACTTAAGGTTCTTCTGTAGTAACTGAAGTCATTCTGAATTGCAGGATTTGTCATCTAGAAAGGAAGAAACATAAGAAAATGGGTGAATCCTAGTGACAGGTCTACACAGTTTTGTTTATAGATCCTACCTCGTTCTAAAACGGGCTAAGATATCAAATCTGCAGAATGCTTAGAAATAAGATTGTGTGACATTTCCAAGTCGTTCCTTTCCAGCGGAACTGCACTGCAGCTTCGGTCCAGGAACAGATCCTGTTAGGCTGCTTTGTCAAGGAAGAAGGTTGTGCTTGCCAGCTACTAAATATATTTCAAAACTGCAGCTCAAATAATTACAATACATAATCAGGAAAAGGAAGAGCCAGGGCACATGCCAGCTGCTATTCCCACAGGACGGGCAGCTCAGTCTGCATAATGCGGGTGCAAGCATATGGTTCTGATGAAGAGTCCTCTGGCAACTGTGCCTGTGAGGAATAGGGCGATGGATCAAATGGACCTCTGGTCTGAACCAGCAGGACTCTTCTCATCATCTTAGTATGCACGTGTAACAGAACTGGCCTAATCAACACTTAAGAGGGCTTGCCTTGAAGCAGGTGCTCCAGAGTGAAAAGTGCTTTGGAATTTCCTTGACAGCTTTCAGGATATCTGATAGATGACCAAATATGTGTCTGCAGTATGTGTCACTGATGCTTTTAAAAAGTGTCATTTTAATGTTTTAGAGCTCTTTAGAAGGCCAGATCCTGAAGATGAAACTCAAATACTTTGGCCACCTAATGAGAAGGAAGAACTCCCTGGAGAAGAGCCTAATGCTGCGAACAACAGATGGCAAAAGGAGAAGGGGGCGGCAGAGGATGAGGTGGCTGGATGGGATCACTGGGGCGGTGGGTGTGAGCTTGGGTGGACTCCGGGGGATGGTGGAGGACAGAAAGGCCTGGAGGAATTTTGTGCATGGGGTTGTGGTGGGTCGGGCATGACTTTACGACTAACAACAACAACAACAAATGTTCTAGGGCACAATCTTACATATATTTAGACAGAAAGAAGTCTGACCACTCTAGCATAGCTGACTGAGGCCTACCAATAATTGTTGGACTTCTTTCTTTTCTACATGGATTGCACTTTTAAGTGTTTTCAAAGTTTGTTTTTTTTGCGAGATTTTGTTTTAAATTGTTCCGTGTGCAGCCTTGGTGCCTTTTTAGCAGATGATGATAATTGAATGAATGGAAGAATGAATGAATAATGCCATTTGAGACCATTCACTTGGTTATGTGCTATTCAGATATTATTGTGAATTTACCTTCAGCTCATCAAACCGAAGTGTGAAATGAAGGATTTCGGCAAACTGTTTTGCAAGAGCCTGCTCTCGCTCCAGGTGCTGCGTGGGAGAGTATGGAGTGCTTGTCAGGGCCCCAAGGAGACCTCGCAATGCAGCTTCTACAGGAAGCAAGAGGGGAAACAGTTATATAAAACAGTGTCAACATGCTGAACGTGTTGGCATATGGGAATGGTTACAAATGCAAGCTGTAGTCTGAGGATTTTAAAATACTTGGCTTAACTTTCTGCAAAAGCAACTGATATTGATGGCTTAGTGGACATTGTGAAACAAATCCAGATCATTATGTTTTTACACAGGGGCTACATTACTGATACAAGTCATTAGCAGGAATTTCAACAAATCTTACCATACTAAAGTTAAGCACTTGGGATCCTAGTCTAAATTATCAATTAGTAGTTTCTGAGCTACTATGAAGAAAACCGTTAATTACCTTATATAGATACTTACCAAGTCTTTGAGAAAATTCATAGAATTTCTTTAGTTTGCCCACTAGAGGGACAACTGCACCCCATGCCTTTTCCTGGAGCCTCTCATTAGTGGGATGCTGTATGGCCTGAAAAAAAATAAGTATGTCCAAGGATGACTGCTTCATAAGGCGGACCATTCCCTGCATTCGGGACTTAAATCTATCTGCTAGCACAACATGGGGTGACCAAAGCATAAGATCTCAAAGGAGAGGTATCATTTTATATGTCTCATGTGGATAAGACTACAGGAACTTGGGAAGAAAGAGATATACCTAAGTAAGTTTTCTCTGCACACAAGTTGCTCTTCATGTCAACAGCTACTCAGTACAGAATGAGGATCACCTCCATGTAAAAGGAAGGGTTGGGGGGCAGGGAGGAAGAATTCTGTTGCTGATCAGTAAGTCTAGTGATACTGTGGAATCTGTCCGGCTGTTCCCTTAGCTCTGCTTCTACTGAGCTCTCAGGGAGAGGTCTTCTCCAGAGATGCTGCTTCTGCCAATTGGATGTACAACGGAAAGAACTTGAGATCTTCAGCATGCATGACTGTATTCTAATACCGAGGAATTTTGCATTTCATCTCCCAACAGGTGTGCACACACTTCATATACTGTTATCTCAGGGGAACTTGAGCCACTGCCTTGAATGTCCCCAACAATTGAACAGGGTTCACTGAAAGCTGAGAAACGATCATTATTCCAAATTCAAAGTGCAAGACTGAAGGAAGAATTGTGGATGTATGGCAGTCCAATAAGTGGGAAACAAGGAGCTTTGTGTATGCACTACAAACTAGTGATCTGGAAAGGCTGAATAAGAGCAGGGTCAGACAAAAGGAAAGTCAGATCAAGACTGTAAAGCATTTTGCACACTAACCTGTCTAATACTTGCAATGAACAGACTGTTATTATTAAAATATGTTAGTGCCCATGGCAGCGACTGACTTTTATTGATCCATATTAAGGTCACAAGCATTAGTGTGAAGTATGACAGGGTGAGCAAGCTGACTACAAGATAACCCATCCAATAATGCTTTACCTCTCGTATTTCATGACCGGCTCCTCTGTACGACTGCAAGTCTTCCAGGATTCCTTCTGCATCCTTTAACACTACATTTACTTGATTATAAATTTCTTTTTCTGATTCTGTAGGTTGCGCATCTAAACAACAGGAGAACATATTAGGTCATATTTGCAGTTGCTTAATTTTCAAATATAAACACCTTGAGAACCATTTGATATTCTCCTGAATATTGTGCTTAAAAAGCATATTTTAGTATGTCATAAAAGGATTTTTTTGTTGGAGTACATTTGTACTCCACATATTATGTCTAAATGCACCCAGAATATCTTACAACATAATCTTTACTTCAGAGTTATTCATACGCTGCCAGCAATTCTAGGCTAACCAGGACACTGATGGGCTTTATGTTATTTTGGGTATTCTGAAAATATGTGTGCATGTGTTAAGCCAGTTCTAGTCAGTGAAAGGTCAGAGAAGTACATTATATAGTCAACTTGGCATTAACTTGTTCCATGGTGTAACAAAAACCTACAGAATGGAGAGGGTAGTATCATAATTTAGTAAATATCATTTATTAACTGTGAGTCCCTATGTCAGATGTCTGTTGATTTTATACACAAACATGACTTTTCTATTTATGTATATCCTCAGTGAGAAAGAGAAAGTACCTTGCTGGATAAAACCCCACTGTGTACTTCTAGTGGGGCATTACTAGTCAGCTATGGATGGCTTTTAGGACTGAACCCATGTATTAGATAGATATCAAAGTTGTTCAATCCAAAGCTAAGTGTGACTTGGTATCAATTTCTTTAAAAAGCAAAAGGATGACATGTATAAATAAAAAAACTCATGCATACCTCAGCTGATTAAGGTGAGATACAATATTTCAACAGTTTTAGGTTAAAAAAAGACCTAAAACAAGAAAATTCTTTCATGCTTAAATCTAAGGGGGTCAAGAATCATGGATATGCATTAAATCAGTATCAGCATTTAATCTTGCAATGAAAATCATCTTTTCATCTATGCTGAAGTCTGCAACTAAGATTCATTTAATCCCCATAGGTTCTGCTGACTCCATGGCTGCCCCTAACCAATCTGAAGGCATGTAAAAAGCTTCCACATATGTAGCTTGTCTCAACACTGAGTTTCCACACATGATGAAGAGGTAGCAGTACCCAAACAAATAAAACCACATGTAGAACACAGTCTAATCCATGCCTGTTGTAGCATGTGAAAGGCTTTCCTTGGGACTATTCATAGCTCAACTGCTGCGACAGTTAAATGGAATACAAGAGGCATAATTAAAAAACAGTTCTTACTTTCAAAATCAAGGAAAAAATTTGGTCCCTGCTCAAGATCTGTGCATGTCAAAACTTTAAGAAGGTTCCCCATGTTAAGGTACCTGTTGAGACAAAAAGAAGGAAGGATATATACACTAAAAATTAGGAAAATTAAATGTTTATTTATTTATTTGGGGTATTTCTAACCTGTCCAATTACTCATGTCGCTGGACGGCTTACAACAATAATTAAGGGGAACACATATATTTCCAGAAAGCTATCCCTGCAGCTTTCATTTCCTGTAACGATGCATGCAACTGGAGCATTATCACCAACTTCCCAACATGTTAATATGAAAATTTGTTCTCCAATAAAAAATGGAACCTCCTTCAGAAACTAAAAACTACACACCCCCTATAGTTATCCAATCACACATTACTTGCTTCTGCAGTCTGGTTTCCAGCAGGCTCACTACTCACAATCTCATATTTCAAAACCTCAATTCCACAGAAGACAGATTTATTCCCCCTTCCTTTCTGATTTCACTTCAGAAGATAAATAACCGGAAGCAAAGTCCAATATTCTTTTCCACTTGATTCTGACAGATTCAACCCCATTTAGTTTATCACAGTCTCCCCTAACCAGCGCCCTCCAGAATGGTTAAATCACAATTTCCATCATCCACACTTACATGGCCAATACCATGATGGCTGAGGATGATGGGAGCTTAGTCCATTGCATTTGAAGACTACCAGGTCAGGGCAGGCATGCCTGCATCATCATTTTAAGTATCCTACAAACCAAAATAGAACCCCTCTTATCTTCTATAATGAGTCTTTCCCTCTAACATTTACTGCGCTTGTTACCTACAGCTCCCTGAGCATCCAGTCCCTGTGTGATAAAAGGAGAATGGAGAATCTTGACTACTGCCATTTCATTCTATACAGAGGACTCAGCTGATAGGACCAACCTATTGGGAAAGGTATGGTTTCAAAGACTCCAAAAAATCCTTGAAGGACTGACACCTGTCTACACTGGAATGGCAGGGGTGCCAGAAAGTGGGTACTACATTTACCATTTTTTTTAAAATAGCCATTAAAAATCTTGCAAGTGGTTCACAATACATGAGAGTGGAGTTACAAAACTCAATCTCATTCATTAAACCTAGTAGCATACAGCTGTGGCACAGCCCTCAGTGAGAGCATCAGTCCATGTCTTGACTTCAGAATGCAAGTGAAGACTGACACAATTCAGTGCTTCCAACAGATGATACTTTCTACACAGCAAGCAAATGCTAGGAAGAAGGATATTAATATTCATCAGGATACAGAAGATAAAATGCATTCTTCTGTGGTATGTAGCCTACAACCACTTTGTATGTTTCGCCACCAAAAATCTGCTTGCTTCAACCATGCAATGCACAGCATTCATTTTTTATAGCATACAATGTTTTGGAAGGGCTGTGGATCCATTAAGATGGATGACACCACAGAAATGCTTCATTTTAAGTGCTGACAGTTTAACAAGATGTCAAGTCTGTGCTTCAAGGTATCATGCTGAGAAGAATGATATTCTGGGAAAGCCAAGGGAGTATGGCTTGAATGGTGCATGAAATCTTATGTTTCAAAGAGCAATTATTGGTGCATGAAGTATGAACAACTTGGCCCTCAATAAACCTGGGGAGGCTGTATGCTTAGGACTCTTACAGCAGACATGTTTATTTCAGAAGGCCATGCAATACAAACTACTGTGCCAAGGAAGATTTATGCCCTGTATATTCTACAACATCTCCAATTTCTCCATGATGCCTGTGATTTGGAAACAGATGGGAACAGATTCCAGAACATCTCCAACAGATTCCACACTTTTATCATCTGGCACTGACACAGAGTTAAATGCAAAATGACACTGAACAAGGGTGCAATCCCAGACATTTTTAGACAAAAACAAGTCCAACAACCCCCAACATTCCTCAGCCAGCAACTGGGGAATGTTTGTTATTGCAGAACTTCTATCTAAATGTGCACAGGACTGAACCCTAGAACTGATTAATTTGGGAATATTCCTTTTTCAACCAGCTTCCAACCGATACTCCTTGGGAGCAAAATTGAAAGTACAACCAATTCCAGTTGAATATGATGCAACCAGTGACTCAATTTTTGCAGGCAAGGGGGAGATCTTCACTGTGACAATGCACACATCCCTTTGTCAGCTATCATTCTGCTGCAGGACTCTACCTGAACTTAAAAGCAGTGAAATATATGCCCATTCGTCTTATGTTTCTAAGTTTTAAAAAGTACTTTAACGTATTTCTAGTTTTCTGGAATGACACTCAGATAAGCCGCATTCAGAGTGACTTCCTAAAACCATTTGCACGCTACACATGTTAGGCTTGGAGCCAGCAACAGGTGATCTGCTGTCCACCATGTGAAGCCTCAGCAATAGATAAGGGATCGTGGGAAATGCAGTCTCAACCACCTGGAGGGCACCAGGGTGCCTACCAGTCGCTTACATGCCTAGTTCCCATTCCCCTAAAGTGATCTCATGGATATGTTCAAATGTGTAAAGCTCATTAAGACATCCTGGGAAACCACAGTCTGTCACTGTAAGAACGGATTGCAACCGTGCTTGGGCTCAATGACCCTTCTGTCACCTGTGAGGTGGACATTACAACCTTCTCCTTTCAAATTTATACTAACTACAGTTTCTCCTAATTTCCAAGCATAGCTTTGTTTAAACTATAATGTGGTTTGTTTAAACTATATTTAGTGGGAATAAACCAATTCTCAGGCGTTCTTTTCAAGAAAGCACCATGCGATGCAATGTTAGTAAGCTTTTCTTGGTCTGAGTCAGTAGCCACTGCAACATTCCAAGAGGTACAACATGCATTCTGGGGAGAAAGAAAACAGATGCCATGTCATATTAAAGAAGCTGGCAAGACTGATAACGTAAAGTTGATTTGCCCTTAAAAGCTAGAGTTGTCCTAGCAAAGCAACTTCATTTGTAGCAAGCACTATAATTTATTAAGTAAGAACAACTGTAAGATAGATCACCATGGCAGGCAAGCTGTAGTAGCAATCATGCCAGCCTATGTTATAACATTGGGAACATGCCCAGGAGAAAGTCTGAGGCCACCTTGCTAAAGCTAAACAGATTGCATTCTACTTAGTGCCTGAATGGAAGACTGCCCATGATGGAAGAAATGTGGGATATGATGTATTAAAATAATTATAACAGTAATGTAATGTAACATCAACAGAGTTTAATGAGGACACAATTGCTCATTTCAACAAAGAGCTCACCATAAGTCAGACTGGCACTGAGGGATGTTACCAGAAAAACTACAGGCAGAGGATGAGACAAAGAACTAAGCAAAAGTTCACCCCAGGGCTTTCCATCCCTGCAATCAAGTCAGCTCAATTTGTTTTGGTATAACAGACATGTAAAGCAATCCACCTTAGGAACAAAATGCTGGGCAGTAAAACTAATTACAGTTAAGTTATATGGTCACTTCTCATGTCAGTGGAGCAAGCCATTACAATACACAGTTAAAAAGAAATCCTTCCATTTTTCATCAAGTTGTATTGCTCTTTGCCGAGATTCACTAATAAAGGACAAATTATGTTAATGCCATATTCCATAAGCAACTAATTTTATTTATATAGCAGTAAACAAACACTTGTAAGGATTTTATTATTCTGGTTTGTAAAAATAAGAAAAAGTTTGCTCATTCTTTTCTCCTATGAACTGAAAACATTTTTTCTACTTGATTTAATCCTTTGTTTTTGTCTATTTCCACATACTTACTTTTATTATCAGATGTTATCTGATACATGAATAACAGACGGAATGCCTACAGCTAGGTGACGTCACACCACTAGTCAGGCTAGATTATTTTACTAAGGAACTCTTCAGTGGCCACAAACTGTATCAAATCTAAGTGCATTTTGCCGGCTTCATTTTCTAATTATTGGGTATCTTGATGCTCCTTGCTTAGCATTTTATAATCCCTGTCAGCAATTTCTAAGGTATCCGCAAACAGCTCTCTTAGGCTCCATGGAACAGGTTGTGGGAATCACTGAGAAATACTGTTTCTAACTTGACCTACTTTCATAGAATAAGACATATGGGAACGCCACATTTGATTACAATGACTCGGCCCATTGCAGCCTTATGGGGTTGTCTGATGCAGAATGCCATGTCAAAATCAGACAGGCGGAAAGCCGGGGCATATTTCAAAACAAAACTTGCACGCATGGCCTTCACACTGAAAACATCCCCGACATATTTCAGTTTTTGCTCAATCCGGAGAAAATGCAACAGAATTACAGAATGCAATACTAATTCTGAAGAACTAGAGATGACTCCCCTCAGGGTTAAGCCTACATTAATAGCTATTTTGTTCCCAACTGGTGAACCAGGCACAAGCCTCAGTGAGTAGAAACCCTCCTCCCTTGTGTTCAATATTTCTGGAAGAAAATGTGGAGATCAAGAATTCTTACAACCTATAAATGAAGGGTTGAAAAACAGCAGTGCCCTTTCACTGATGAGCCACACTGAAATAAGAGAACATCTCAGTAAACTGGCTATGTTCAGACGAAGAATTAATCCTAAAATCATGCTAAATAAAGGAGATGTGTCTTTTTCAAGAGACACTGATTTAAATTAAATGACTTGATTAAAACATGTATATCATAAACTGGGGTTGTTAAGATCTGTCCTGTGTTTGTTTCCCTCTCACATATACAAAACAACACCATATGCATATGGAGACACTCATATGTTAAACAAAGGAGAGTCTGCAATTCTTTCCAAGCAGAAAGACAAGTGAAATTCCAAGCCAGCCTCATCATGGGAAAGCAGTGCACCCAATCACTGATGTTTCTTCATGTTCATTTAAACATGGATCCAGGCTGTTTAGTGGTTACTGAATTAGCATTAGACTAATCCAGATCAGCACAACTATCTGGATGGAAAGAAATCTCTCGTGTCCTTCACAATGAAAGCCCACATAGCTCCATCTCTGTTTGCTTTTTGGCATGTAGTAAAATTACTGCTATTGCTAGCATTTGGGTGATGTTCAGATGAAATTATCACTGCATTTTAACAGATACATGCTGACGTTGGTAGATAAAAAAATTTCTAATGGTTCCAAAGATGTAAAATAATGTCTTTTAAGTTAATCAGGCAAGTTGCTGATAACCATTTATGTGTACTGTTTTAAATTTTTAAATCTGGATACGTTTTTCTGAAATAAATAAAACAGGGTAAGTGCATGTTGCGTGCCTAGCAAACTCCTCAGGCTGTGATTGCGCTATGGAGAATGGAATGTTACCCTTAACAGAGAAGGTAATACCATGTACAAACTTAATATCACATTTGTAGCCTTCACAGAATCAAGGAAAACACACAAAACTATGTGGACAACCTCCGCACACAAAGAGTTAATAGTTGGGCTCACAGAGCACTGATATGGATGTTGCCAGTCTTTGGTACCTGTTTCTTTAGGAGGGAGGAGGAAGAAGTTATGGGAACTAGGAGTACCTCCCCCTTCACTGGCTCCCTTATCAAATATAACAGTGCAAAAGAGGGAGTAGGCTTTCCTATACACACAACTCTGCTGAGCATGTGCACAACTTTCAAGTTAGTGTTTTATCAAGTCAGAATGATGAATTAAGAAATAATTGTCCTACATTTGTAGTGATTACCCCAAGAACTGTTTTACATGAAGGAAAAACTTGATGTCTATTTTGTGTTTCTGGAAGCAACACTGCAACCACTGCAGTGTTAATTTATTCAAGTCTGATTCATCTGCATAACTTATTCCAAATAATATGTATATTCCAGCACAAAATTCCAAGCCCCTGGGCTGCATGACACTGAAAGAGTACAATTCAGGTATACTAGACAAAAAGGTCAGTATGAATACTGAAATAAGAGGGACTAATTGCCAGGCATCTGCTGGGAATAGGATTTGGCAATGTTGTTTTTTTAACAACCTGAATGTTTTTATTTCCACTTGCCACAACTAAGAGCTAAAGGCTACTAAGAAATTCTTAACACTAATGAGATCAGGCAGGTAATAAAAGCCCTTAATAACAGATGACACCCTAAACTCAGCAGCCAGTGAGACAAGGGTTATTTATATACCAAAGCAAGTTGCTTATTAAAGAAATGCATAGTAGAAGCCATGTGAGCAAGTTATTGGCATTCATCCTTGTCCAGCAAAGAATCTCCTTATCAACAAAACTGCCATTTAGACAGGCAACAGATCTAGCCCTTTACCATACTTATTTTAAAGCATGAAAATAACGTACTGTATAAATCTGTTCCAGTTTCTGCATACACTGGGACACTGCCTTGGGGCCAAACTAGGCACTTTGCAAAAGCCACGTTCAGGTGATACCATGTGCACTGTAGGCCGTATCTATGATTTCATTTCATATAAACTCTTCAGAATCTTTTATCAGCCCCATGTAAGTTCATGGCTCAGGCAAGATGTGAACTGCGGCTTTCTGGCCCATAATTTTAACTGCTATGATGTTTTATTTGAGACATCAATACATTTAAAAAGCGAACAGTCTCAAACCAAACATTAGAAGGGGAATCCCATGGATGCGTACATTTACAAACTGACAGTCATCAGTCAGGTTCTTGTTTCTTAAGGCAATATAGTCACAGGTTTTATACACAGGTATCATACCAGAAGGAATATGGCTGCAAAACTTATACATTTATCATGGTCATGGTAAAATATCCTTTTGAGTCATTTTTGTAATTCCTAACAAATAGCTCCCATTCTCTTTTCTACTGCTGACATCTAGTGGCATAGTTTAAGTATGCCACTTCATACTGGCAAAATAATGCATAATAGAAAAGGACAGTGTTGCAGATAAAATATTTATTAGTACTTCTCTCTGAAAATTTGACAAAAGTAACAATACATTTTAGGATGCAATCTAGTGCGTATTTAGGCAGGAAAAAAAAATCCCATAATTCCCAGCATCCTCCAGGCAGCCATGCCATCTGGAGCATACTGAAAATTGTAGGACTTCTTCCTTCCAAATATGGATAGGATTGCATCCACGGTGACTGTTCACTTCATAGACTGGAGAAACTAATTTCATTTTGTTATATGATGTTTATAGGAATAAAGCAGCTCAAGAAAAGCACAAGGTAGAACATGATGGAGGTATGGAAAGTGACTTGATGAATCACAGTTGTACTTAAACAGTATACATACTATACTTTCAGCCTACTTTTTCCTGTGGACCCTAATAGCCCCTGTTCAAGTCCCATCCCCACGTAGTTTCAATACTGGAGCACCAGGGACTCCTGCATCGTTTACTGGGCCCTGCATGCACATTGCTGCTTTACCAAATATCTAAAGACACTGTGACACTATCAGTGTCTACACAGACAGACATACACCATACTGAGCCTCAGATGAATATGCAAAGGACTGAAGCAAAAAGCTATTGTTTCATGTCTCATTAAAAACACAAACTACAGCAAATGACTATACTGCTTTAGTAATGGGGAGTTCACTGTTCTGGGGTCAGAGTAAGGGGGAATGTCATCTAAGCAAGAGGCCAGAACATGCCTGAAATGAAACCGCGTTCTTAAGGTGCTTCAGCATTTTGGCTGGGAGGAGGGGTAACCTTCTGTTACAGATTCATCCTGCAAAACGTCCTTATAACTAGGGGTATGCCAGGGCGGGGATTCATTGGATTCCCTTGCCTTAACACCCCAGGCTCCAGTCAGCTTTCTCAATGTCTTAAAACTGACTCAGGGTTCTTCGCCAAATATTTGCATGGGCATCTGGCGTAACTGCTGCATATAACTGAGGCCCAGCAGGTATTACTCAAAAGCCATCTTATGTTCAGGTGCCTGAACACCCATCGCACAACTGGAGCTCAGCTTGCACGTGCAGACCTCCCTTGTGTCTGTGGGCACTGGTGAGGACTAGCACTTGCTGAAGGATACACAGCACATACATTCAGTGCAAGGAAGGGGCCCACAGCTGCTAGCATTCCCAAGCATTTGCACACTTGATCTTGCTCGACTGGCTTTCTTGGCCAAGCCAGGGCTGAGTGTGGAAAGAAGTCTGGTGAATGCAAGAGTGTTGGGTTCCAGGGGACTCAGCACAACACTACTTATAGCACCATTCTAGGTACTACCAAAAATACACAAATGTTGATTAGTTAATAAATTCATTAGAAAATGGAGCATAGAGCAGAAATGACAATTGTGTGATGTTAATGCCAGTATATAAGGATAAACCTGTCACTTGTACCTCATATGCTAATACCATCTCTCAAAGTGCCAAAACCTGAAGACATATACTGATTCTGCAGAAAATGCAGGCTATACAGAACACAATACATTTGATGAAGAGGCCATGCAACTGCAGGATATGCCATATACAATTCACAGTAATGGCCATGCTGCCATTAAATCCACTTTTGAAAGTTTTGTAATGGTATAAGTTGCATACTTCGTAAAATGAAGACACAAGTGCTTCAGCACAATTAACAAATTAGATTCTCCAAATGCCGGCTTGAACTGATTTGAAGCTATGATTAACTTTAACTTCCTGCCACATACAAACATGTGGCAGATTGCATTTGTTATAGAATCATTTGCAAAATGATCCTTAAAACATTGGAATATTTGGCAAATACATATGGTATAAATACTTGGCATGAATATCTAGTTTGGAAACAACAGAGTGTATGTTTAAAGACTCAATAACACAAGATCAAAATTGCAAGTCGTAAGAGGTTCTGCAAGTGCAGAGTCTCCATTCATTTTAGAAAGGCTTGCACTGTTTCCCAAGCTAGTTTCCCAGAAATGAAGCATCGTTGTGCACAGTAATGCTTCGTGGAACACATGCGTTATGTCTGAAACAAACTCTGTGAGAGATGGACAGACAGAAACAATATGGCATTCTCACCTACAGCCAGTGCTGCTCTCAGTTTTGTTCCCAATCTAGAAATGTAAAAAGAGAAAATGAAACCATATCCAGCCAGATTGCAACTGGGAGTTCATTTATTTCCCCCCAAAATACAATATTTATAGATACCCCCCATTCTACTTTAAAGGAAAAGACATGTAGAAGGCTCGTAGAAACTAACAGCAAGTTCTAGCTGGATAGCTTGAGCATCTCTTAAAATCTCCCCATTTATCAAAATTTTGAATTATTGTTGTTCCAAAAAAATACTGAAAACATGAATAAGATCAGCTCCTGAACAACACTTCTAAAAACTGCCATTCTGTCACAGTAATGTCAGCAAACACTGGGTATAACAATTTTAAATAAATAAATAATCCTGGCTCAAGGCAGACAGGGTGCTTAAATCATGACTAAGTAATATGTCTCAATGCCTTTAGTGCTCGCCTGATTTCTTGGACTACAGGCCCCATAAACACTTACTCTAGTCATTCTGGCTAGTGGAAGTTATAGCCCAAAATAACTGGAGGGAACCAGGTTTTTCCCTGCATAGCTAAACCATCAATGTCTGGATAGAAACCAAGATCAGACACCACAATTTGGATCTCTCTAGGCTCTCCACCTGAAAAACCACAAAACAGAACTTTGTGGTGTCTACCTGAACAAACCATATGAAATGACTAATTTAACTTGGCTTGCCAAATTATGGTTTTACACTGGGGATGTTCACCAAGTTTACTGCATAAAAATAAGTTTTATGTACTTATTAGAGGTTCATGATGCTTCAGCTTAAATGTTTACTGTGTGGCACATCCTAGCATCTTACGTAGCTCATAATTTGGCAAGTCCATCATTAACATCCTCCCACAGAAGCAAGGCAAGAGCGAAGATGCATGACAATCATGTTCTATGGACAAATCATCTTCCTCTGCAGTAACAACCATCACAGAAGGATGATATCACATGGTACATGATTTCAGAATCCATTTTGTGGGACAGCTCAAGTTGAACGATGACAGTCCACAGTGTAGTGGCAAAGTGGCACCTGATCCCTGACATCATCTATCTATGCCCCTCCTCACCAGCTGTGCCGTCAAAGAGTAGATTGGTGGTTAAGTACTTAACAGAACAGTAAAATGTACCACAAGTTTATTTTGGTCTGTAGAAAATACTACTTCTACACAGTATTGCATTAAGGCTCCTCAAAAGCTTCTAAGGAGGGATGCTGAGTTGTCAAATAGCTGCTTAACTACGCACACCATCCGCTTTACTTAAAGCTGCACTTCCCTTAATTTCTAAAACAATGATAAATATCTGAAAATATCCATATAAGTAGTGTCAAACTAATTCTTCCAGTTTTATCCTGTACGTAACGTCTATCTCGGAGAACGGCATCATACAAGGTACCTAGTATAGTTTGGCCAAAAATCTATGCATTCGCAGTCTACTCATTCTAGATGAGTACATGCAGCCGAGGGGATCAGCATCTCTAAATCAATGGGAAAGCGACTTAATATCCTCCACACGCTTTCAGCTTATAGCTCCCACAGCTCCTGATCATTGGCCCTGCTGGTTGGGGCAGATGCAAACAGCAGACTAAAAAATCTGGAGGCACAAGGTTGCCTACTCCTACTTTAGATGGTAACAGTGCGGCCCCACTGCCTTGAAAGAAATGACTGTGTGGCACTCCAAACTCTCTCTGGATCTAGCACATTACAATAATCATCATCCATTAACAAATATCTCTCACTTAACCAATGTGCACTCTTAAAAGAAATGGATTGTCTGGATTCATTCCAATCCAGTTGCATGTTTGGTTCTGGTACTGAAATAGCCTTGGTTGCCTCTCTCTGTTAGGAGAGAGACCGAGAGTGTAATCCTGGTAATTTTTCTTGATCTCTCATCCTACTGGGCATCAAATGCAGTGCGTGAATTGTGATTTTTGAGACCAGCCTGATTATTCCTTTTTGTTAGAAGCTTGAGAGCAAGGTAGTTGCTGCTCATTGTGGTTTCCATGCAGTGATCAACCAGAAAGTGAAGCCCTCTGTGACCCCTTTAATCTGGGATAGACAAATTATACCAGCTCTGACTTTATTTCTCCTGACATCACTCCAAATCTATTAGCTCAGTCCCTCACTTGGCCAAACCCATCTCACTCAGTTTTTCCCATGGAGCTTAGGCTTCCAAAGCCCACCCACCTCCACTACTTATTCAGCAAATGATAACTCCGTCCTCCATCTTCTCTCATTTCATCACTGTTAACAGAAATCATAAGGGACCAGTCTTCCAGTCTAGTGCCAAGGGTGCTTTATTAATGAATCTCTTCTTACTATGAACATAAGCAGTAAAATGATGATGACTTGGAAGCTCCTGTCAATGTAAAATGTTGCCTGATGATACCATGTGTGGGCGCATAATGCCAACTTTGATTGAACTCCATGGGTGACATTACCACTTCCAGGCCTAAATCAGGATACTGACAATTGCCTTTTAAAGAAACCAATACCTGAAACACTACTTCTGAAGGAGACAAATACCTGAATGAGCACCTCTTCCCATATCAACCTTCCCATTCCTCAAGATCCTCTCCTTCAGGTGCCTTCCTTATTGGTAGTAAGGTGTTCAACAAAACAGAAGTCTTTTTTTAGTGTTGGTGCCTAGAAAATGAGATGTTGTTTCTACCTACCTGGTACCAATATTGCCATCCTTGCATTACCAGGAAAACTGTTTGTGTTTACCCAAGCATTTTAGCTAAGGTGCTTTTATTGTTTTCATTTACTTTATTTTTGTTCAACATCACCCTGAAACAGCTACGGATAGCATAAATAAAGATACAAAATAAATCAATACTGTCAAAAACATCTTGCTTCCATAAATGCATTGTGCAATTTATTCACTACCCTATACTCGTTAAGGATGGCAAATTTAAACCTTAAAATAAAGATACATCCTGGTGCCATGACCTATGAAGAGAGATCACCTTTGTGTTCCAAGAATTTTATGCTGTACAATAAGGAGCAAGTTCCAGTCTCTATGCTGTTGAACACATAAACTCATTTACATAAAAACCAGGGATAAGCAAATGGGGACCCAGCAGACAAATCCAGGGCTCAGAGGCTTTCCAACAGATCTTCAAGCAAAGCCCCAGATCCTTTGGGGATAGAGGTGGGGAGGGTATACAGCTTTTCTGCACATCAGGTGTTCAGTCTTAAGCTGCTGCAGGACAAAAGAAAATAATTCTATAAAGACCTCAGCTGTCATTTAAGCACCAAGGATGCAGGGCTACTCAACAGCCATTGACAGCACCTGGTACCATTGACAATCACTGTGTGGAGGTAATGCTGTTGAGCCTTCACATCCTTGCAGACTGAATTATGTTGATTATTAAAATAATCTGCTGACCATGGCCTTGCATACTTCTGATAGCTCATCCTAGCTTGTGTTGGTTGAGTCTAAAATGAATATTAAAGGGCAACAAATTCTTTGCCACTAGTCAGTGAATATGAAAGGACAAAATGTGTAGTTACAAGCTGAACAGTGCTGAATGCTCCATGAACCAGAAAACCATCAATCAGTATGACACATCAGATATACACAATTGTCATCATTTATATTTCATCAGTTACTGTGAATACTAGCCCCCGTTATGAAATCACTGTGATATCTTTATTCTAATTTTTTTTAAATTGACCTCCAAAATCATCACGAAATGTAGAGGAATGAACTTTTTGCTCTTTATCCTGCCTGGCAAGTATGTCCACAATTAAAACCAGTCCACTTTCCAGGCTTGATTTTAATAATTTGCTGGGTGACCTTAGACCAGAAGGAACTGCATGTGGCAGAATGAGGGGGCAGGCAAAGACATGACAAAACTCCCTGCCATTGCACTATATGTATCCAAATATGCTATAGACTGTTGGACGAGGAACTACTCCCAACAAGCTAGTAAAATGTGGTCACTAATAACTTTGGTGGGTTTATTTACAAGGACGTGCTCATCTGCATGTCCACACATAACCTGTATCAGCAATTTGTGGCATGCCCTGAAAGACAAAAGAAGCAGTTTACTTCTACATTAGAAAAGCTTCCCTGCTAAACTGCCAAAAGACCACCCTGTCAAAGACTGACTGTTTACAAAACTTTCTTTCCTTTAAAGCTGGAAGAACAAGTCTTGCATCTAGTCACTTCTTTCCCTCATGCACCCAACTATCCACTTCCTCTTTCACTGAAAACATTGGCTATTCAAACCAAACTGTCAAACAATGGTTTATAGCTGTTCTCAAATGGCAATTGCATAAGGTCTGGAAGGAAAGTGCAAGCCATAATTTGCCTTTTCAAGCATAACACCACCAAATTAGGGCTTGTTTGTAAGCAGAACTAACAGAATAATAGTACAAAGCAGAACAGGGAGCAGGGGGAGATGTCCAAAAATATGCTTAGTTCTCCTAAAGCAAAAACTACTGCTTGTCTTCTGTTAAATTAATATCTAAAACAAATAAAACTAATATCATAATGAACATAACAAGAACATAAAAAGCTATGCAGGATCAGACCAGTCCTGTGGTCTATCCAGTCCAGAACTCCCATTTGCACAGCAGAAAACCAGCTGCCCACAGATTCTCTCAAGCAGGAGGAGTACAAAGCCTCCACCTGCCCACACTCCTCAACAACTGGTATATACAGGGATGCTGTCTTTGATAACAGAGGTAGCAGGGAGTCAACAAGGCTAGCAGCCAAATAGTCTTTTTCTCCATGAATTTTTCCAGTCCCCTTTGAAAGCCAACCCCATTGGTGGCCAACACAACTTCCTGTGGCAGTTAATTCCATAGTTAAAATATATTCCATGAGAAAAAGTACACCCAGTCCCACAAATATGAACATCTAAGTTAAGAACAATTCCTACTTTGCACAATCCTGGATGTCCTGCCTCATGCTTAAGCTGGTGCCTGTGTGTGGCAGGGGGAGGGGAGGGGAGGGGAGGGGAGGGAAGAGGAAGGAAGGGAAGAATAGGAAGGGATGAAGCGAAAGAAGGAAGGAGGGAAAAGGGGAGGAGGAGGGAAAAAGCAGCAGGCAGTGAAGTTAGAACTAGTTCTGCAGCAGCAGCAGAACTATACCGTAGTTTTTCATGCTCATGAAAAGCTAGTGTATCCAAGGCAGTATGTTTCAGATCTCATGAAGTTAATATTGCCTTCTGTAACTTTGTACTGTATTTGGTTTGTAACCATGCCTCTAGCACCAGTCCCATCTCTATCATCATCCCTAGTTAATGTTAGGTTTAATGTTAGCTCCAGAAGTGCTAACCTTTCAATAATCTTTTACTATTTCTATCTTTCTATGCAAGCTGTTTTAAGTACTGTACTGCATACCTACAAACATACATACAGATTCTCTCTCTCTTCAGTACCTGTAATTACATCATCACCATCACCATCATCATTGTGGTGTATTATGTTTAAGATGTTTTAGTGCCTATGGACATGTTTTATGTTTCTTATATTCCTGATCTGACTTACATTCAAATCCAGCTTAAAGATGATCTCAGAAACAGAACTTGTTCTCAGTCCAGGGACTGGGTGTACTTACTTTTTATCTGCCCTGAATCATGAACTAATCAGCTTCATGTGATGACTCCAGGTTCTAGAATTGTGGGAGAAGGAGAAAAACCTCTCCCTCTCCACTTGCTTCACACCATGCATAATGACATTATGTTCACAATTTTAAACCAAGGAAGTGAGATCTAGGTACTTTTTTAAAAAGAAAAAATAAAGAAGTGAATCCTTACTGGATTCTACAAAGTCCAGACGATGACAGCAAAAGGGACTGGGATTTGGCTTGTGTTGCCAGTACTCTTTTTTAAAATCATCTGTGGAAGATACCACCATCTTCTATATTCCTCTAGAATTTTAAAGTAAGGTTCTACTCCAAATTTCTGAATGTTTTCTACAAGTTGTTGTAGAGAAGGACACGGTACAGCAATATATTAGATTTTAACAACAATTAGGCATATTTGTTAAGAATTGCTCTTTGTGAAGAACCAACTACTCCACTGCTTTTAAGCAAACACCAAAAACGATAGTTCACCCTATTGAAAAAATAAGCACTAAAACAAAAAGTGTATCAGCACAAAATAAACGGCACAGACTGACACCACCTTAAAGGAAGGTGCTTAACTAGAAGCACTAGGACCTGCAATTCTGCAATGGCAACAAGGGCACAGACCTACCAACTCCCTCCCCAAGCTGTCATTCCCAGAGCTCTTTGGAAGAAGCCAAATTAGTTATACAGGCATAAAATAGATGCAAATATGTAGTGCAGATATAGACTGAGAGAAGATTACGATTTGTTCCACTTGATAAAACAATCACCTTGGCCCCCACCTAGATCAAACATCAGCAGGTAAGCTAGCAAGCTTAATACATACCATGCATCATTTAAAATGAAAATTTCATGTAGAGAGTGGGAAAGAGCAAGAGTGCTTTTCAAATACTTACCAGGTGATAATATTGTTTTGAAGCTTTCTGTAGATTGTTACTCCTTACAAGGCAGACGTAGCAGCTTTTCTGTGAAACCTGTAGAGATGAAAGGATGAAACATTAAAACAGACTACCCGTCATTAAAAACAAGACTACTCAACCACACAAAAGGAAGTTCAACCAATTTCAGGTGCTTTTATCAACCACATTTCACACACAGAGTCTTCATATACATGCAATAAAATGCCCACACCCAGTGGGCACAGGTTCAGCATATGTATTTATTTATTTGTTTGTTTTATATTCCTCCTCCATTTTAGAGAATTCAAAGCAGCTTACATCATTCTCTTCCTCCTGTTCTCAATTTTATCCCCACAAAAGCTCTGTGAAGTAGGTTGGACAGAATCCGTGATTGGCCCAAGGTCATCCAGTTGGCACCATGGCTGAGCGGGGACTAGAATCATATCCCTTGCATCCCAGTCCTGCACTCTTAACCACCGCACCACACTGGCTCCCATACTGTGGGAGGTACTGTCTTTTTTCTATTCGTAACACACAGTAATGTTACCGTACTGTAATGCAAGCAAGCAAATTTAAACACAAGCACACCAAACAAACTGTATTACCTGGTTTTTCTCTACTCAACTTGATTTCAAAACAGTGAGGGCAGAGTGCTCCTTGACATGATGTGCAAAGCAAGCTCAATTTAGTAATTTTGTGGGAGGGGAAAGAGAAACTGTATCTTCCTTCAAAGGATGACAGGAGTTACGAAGTATCACTTGACTCCCACAAAATGCCTAGTGACCCCAAAATTATCTAACATGCCTTGTGCACAATGATGGACAAATATCATGGCTGAAGAGCCAGATATGATTCTCAGAGCAACCTTATTTGGTCTCTGGAGGCTCAAGAAATATTGAATGCTTACATGCAATTTTACTTTTAAAGAAAAATGGGGAATCAATTTTTAATATGTAAAGAGAACACATGAAGCTGTCAACTAGCCGTCCTCTTTGGATTTTGACCATTTCGAGTGAAACATCCGTAACACTGCAGGCCGCACTATCAGATGCCACTGTGTTATGAGAGTCTAGTCCAGACTTCCTCAACTGGGGCCCTTCAGATGCTGTGACTGCTACTTTCAACATTTCTGACCACTGATTATGGTACGTAGCTCAGTCTAACAGGAACTGAAACATCTGAAAGAAACCAAGCAGGGGAAAGCTGCCCTGGCCATTCAGGAGGTCAGCGTGCATTACACATGCTCTCAGAGAACAGTCCTGTAACTGCTTACCAGATACACTTTCAGGCACACAGAATAGCTTCCAAGCAGCTCCACTGCTCCACTGATGCAGCACAAAAGAGAATGAGGGGACATGTGAAAACACATTCTGACGACCTGCGACTTCACTTGAGCCAGTTTTTTTACTGTGTTTTAGCTCCTGCACCTACTTAAGTGTTAGAACAAGAAGGTGCATCTTACTTTTGAACAGTTACTTTATGTGAACACTGGCAGGAGAGGACGTGGCCCACACCTTCCGCACCTGCCTCTTCCACCACAGAGAGAAGGACCACTTCCTCTTTAAAAGAGGCAGAGAGGGGAACTAGGATAATTTTGCATGCTTTCACTGTGTATTGCTCCTCAAGAAGACAAAATGAAGCACATGGAAAGGCATGCTCTTGAGAAATCCCTACAGAAATACATAAACACAGTGTGCATTTTTGTGAACAAAAAGGCCATGCTGTGTTCCATGTACAATACCCTTCAAGCAGAGGCAAGGTCTTGTCTACACTGTGGTCCCTCAGCTTTTCTATGTTTCTTTATATTAGTAAAAATAAATAATGGTGATTTTATTCATACTGTGCTAAAAATCCACCTACCACTCAGTAGTGGAAAGAAAAGAAACTTCAAAATTGCTTTCAACTGTCTAGTTCAAAGCTAAGGATTTGACAAAGTACTACTTTCCCACAATGATAGGTCTCCTGTTCCATTTTCATGCAATTAATTCTAGACAGACAACTGTGTAATCATTATTATGCACACAAGCACAGGCTAAGACCTAACATCTATTCATACATAATATGTTGTATAAGCTGCTAAGCCTTCTAATTCCTCCTGCACCGCAAACACTGCCAATATGGCATTAGAAAAGCACCAGCAAACAAAATCAACTCAGTTTCAGGGACAAGGTCCTTAGGTCAGATAACAATCCCTGAATTACAAATACTGAATTTAGGTGTTTGTTTCCTTGTATTTTATCCTGCCTGTCCCTCATTCCTGCCAAGGGATTCATGTAGCAATGCTACTCAAAATTCAACACTTCTACTAAATATTGGGGTACACAGTGATCCAGCATAAACAATCATTATTCCTATGACACAGTATGTTAAGAGACCATAGCCATTCATGAGAATCAATTTGTATACATGTACACTTCTAAAGTTAGATGCACCCCCACAACCAGATGCACTATGCCATAGTATGGCAGAATGTTAGGCTGGCCCTCGTTCGATTTAAAGAATGTCTGTCTCTTTAAGAGAAAGAGAAAGACCTCCACTCAGGCTGGCCTGGTCTTGTCATAGGCCATTATTATTATACTACCCCACAGACCAAGCTCTCTGGAGGCTTTACAACAATGTATAAAAACCCAATGAAATACAACACAAATAACATAAAACAAAATTAAAATAATTTCAAATTATTAGATACACTGAAAATATAATAAAGAGACTCAACAAGAAGCAGCAGCATCAGGATAGTCCCCTCAGGCTCCTTGATAACCAATGAGATCGTTAAAGGCCTCCATGCACAAGTGTTAGAAATGACAAGCAGTTGTGATTCCACAACTTTCATGTAGCACAACTCTAGTTCTAGCTTTATGAAAGCCAATAAGAAAATGGTGATACTTGAACCAGACTCTGAATTAATTAAAGATCACAAGAGCATTTACACACTACTCAATACCAATACAGAAGAGCTACCAATATATGCCAAGTCCAAGGAACCATCTAGTCCAAACAACTCTTTTCTATAACAGTAGCTAACTAACCTCTTTTGGAAGCTTACAAGAACAATGTGTAACAGAGAGATAGCCAACTTCTGATTCTTATCCCCAGTATCTGATACACATGGGTATAGTGCTTGACTGTGAGTTTGAAAATGGATGTGTTTACAGAAAGCTGATTTAGTTCACAGATACTACTTGGCTGATTTGGTTTATCAGACAAATACTAATGTCCATGAGTTTGTCTAATACTTTAAAAAATCCATCTCTCAGCAGCTTTAAAAAACTGATTCAACTTGGTATGACCCAAAAGGTACTGCATGGGATAGCTCAATAAATTTATTTGGAGTATTTATACCTTGGCCTTCTATCAAGGTGGGTGGTTAAATAATATTAAAAACACAATAATAAATCCAACTGAAATACTCCATAATACATTCAAATAACCATACACTCTGGATCACAAGCAGCTCTGAAACATTCTCTATTATTTAACACCCAAAGACCTTCTGGAAAAAACTGGACTTGATATAACCATTACAGGTCCAGGGTAAGATACATAGCTTCAAGTTATTGTGTAGACCTAAAACCACAATCAAGAAACCCCTGCTCCTCACTATAGCTGAATTATGCAAAAGGCCAAAAAATGCATCCATTTCTTCAGATATGCAGACTAGCATTACTTTAAATGTCTGAAATGAATGAAGAGGATGCTGAACTTCAACTTCCTCCTCTCCACCCACCATCTCAGCAAGCCACAGAATAACTTACAAGTGACACCATCTAGCTTGCTGAACAGGTTCAAATCAGATGCTGACTTTCACTCACAGAGAGCACAGCATGAACTGACAGCCCACACAGTCATGCATCAAGAGAACCTGATTCCACAGAAGGAATACTTACCTATTTTGCATATTTATTTCTTTGAAGCAACCAAGCAATACTTGAAAAGGAGGCCTCCTCGTCCCTCTTCAGAAGCATGGGCAGTAACCGTGATGGAAGCAAGGCCCTTCCCCTGCCACATCGCTCTGTCTTAACAGGGAGTGTTCTACCTCTCAGAACATCCCTCCATTTCAGAACACTGCAATGTAGCCTAGACAATCTGCAGCGCTGCCCCCTTTGCCAGCAGGCCCCTCCCATACTACACTACAAGCAACATCACACCGTGCTATGCAGGTGGAGCTTGGACCCAAAACAGAAGGAGTGAAAAAGGAAGGGAAAGTTTCAGGACAATCTCTTTTCACACAAAACTTGAAGGAAATGAGTTGCATTTTCACAGACTGATTGGTGCACTGTCAGATTTTCCATCTCTTTACCAGTAGCAGCCTCTTTAGGGAGGAAGCACTGTACAAAACATGGCAACGACATTGCAAATGTATGTGAAACTGCAAGGGCTTAATAGCAAGTATCGAGGAAGAAAATATGCCATAAAGACTTACTGGCATACAAATAATTTCTCTTTGCCTCCTTAAGGACCTACAGTTTCCCTGAGTAGGAAAGTTCACCTAACAGTTTTGCACATCAGCAAAATAGTCCAAAGGCTCATGAAATACTTCTTTTACTGAAGCTAAGCAGAACTGGTTCTATAACATTTCCCAGCTGGAAGACTACCCGGGAACCATATGCAAGGTATTCTTGAGCTCCTTGGAAGGAAGACAAACATTCAGTTCTAGGTCACGTCAGTATTCCATCATTATTTGCATTTCCCCACAATCCTGCTTTCATGTACACAAAGGACTCAGGGGAGGGGAAAGGTCAACTTACCGCCCTACAAACATTCCAGTATTGAGTATCTTCAAAGCATAATGCATGGGTCACTCACTCAGTTACTAGAATACTTAGACAGCCATCAGGAGCAGAAAGATTCTTGCTGACTTCAGAAGACTAAAGATCTGATGAGCAACAGAATGCTGAACCCCCATCCTATCCTTTGTGCCAGAGTCTGGAAAGGCATGACATCTCTGCACTACCCAGCTTGACACAAAAAGATCCCTCCCATAAATTTAATTGCAATGCATAATAGAGAAGGGGAAAGGGAGGTATCATGTGATACTGGATTGGGTAGAAGATTCCTAGGAAGAGGATTAAGGA